TCCTTCGCGCGGTACACCTTAAACCGTGACGATTATGATTTACGGAGTATTCCTCAGTTAAGGGCCTGTGGGCGCTTTGACAAACTCCTTGTTGGGGCTTAAGATGCTGGGATAAGAAAAGGTAAGTGAGGCAGGGCGGGTTTAGGGTTGAGGGTTTGGGGGCCTTTGATTGTAATCCTACTACCGGTCCTACCGAAACTTCAAGTTGAACATGTTGGGTCAGAGACTCAGCACCCAAAGCCGGGACAAAGGAGCTCAAGTTCTGGAGGGTCGGTACCCTTTCTTGAGGCCCTCCTGGGCCTCGAATGTGTAGGATTCGCAACTTCGGTGTCAGGTCAACTTTCCCTACACCCTAAACCCTGAATCCAAAACCTCTATGTTCCTTAGATGCAATTTGTGGGTGAGCGGAGGTTCCACATGCCATGACCAAGGCGACGAAGCAGGAGACTTGCGGGGAGTTCTTTCGGGCTTTGTTTAAACAGGCTTTACAGGGCGTTGTAAAGTCTTAGAGCGATTTCTTAGTCGGGATCCTAGGATTTCAAGTCCTGTACCAGGGCTCACTTCCCCGTGGTATTTTGGGCTACGTGCGTCAGGTCTCGTGCACTGTATCAGCTCCATGGTGCTCATTATTATGGTGATGCTCTTCGTTAAGGATTGTGATTCGAATCACCCATGCCATCTTGTTCAAGACGGTTGAATTATACACAGAAAGTTGGAGATCATGGGCACCTTGGCAGGCACGTTCGCATCTCATCTGGAAGCCCCGAGGTGCAATTGCCACTGTCGACATCAAAAGCCCGGTGTTCTTGTCAGAGGGCCTCTATATTGGTATAGCCGAAAATTACACCCAAATTCCGTGCTAATTGTTGGTATTCACAACAACAGAATTGAAGTATGGTACCTCTTTGCACTGGATGAACAAACGCGCACACACCACAGAACAGTCCATTGTTGGCGAAACCATCTCGTGTCAACTGAGCAAGCAAGTACCCCAAAGCCTGAGCCTGGAAATACGATCGACTGCATTCAAGCCAAGGACGAAAGCCTCAACCCCAAAGCCCTGAAGCATACCCTGAACCCTTCAATCCGGAACCCCTGAACCCCAAGTGCGTCTCGACCCCTAAAGCTGCGGAGTCCTTATCCGAAGACTTTGCTAAGTATGTTTAGTTCCCTTAAATCCCTAAACCCTAAACCTTAAACCCTAAACCTTAAACCCTAAACCCTAAACCCTTAAATCCCCAGACGCTTCAAAAAAAAACGTAGGGCATGTTGCCAGGATCGACTGAGCAGCTCTGTCCTAAAGCAGCCGATGGACTATCTGGAGAGCCTACCGCTGCAGACAACTTTGTCATGTCTAGTGAAGGTCAGTGAAGGTTGAGGGCTTAGGATTTTAGAAGAGCTTTGTATTCCGAACATTTTCGGGCTTAGGTTTTCGAGGGCTTAAATGCAAAAGCTCGAATTGAACATTGGGTAGTAAGCTTTTGCGACGCCAGGGCTTGTGTCGGATGAGTTGCCGCTTCCTCGCGCGAGCTTGAAGTTCCCTGCCTTGTAGCAACAACTGAAGCTTGAATTCGGTCACCCGGCTTTTCGGAAGACTCAAAGCGACATTTTTCCAAGTTCCTGAAGCACATGCAGTACTGATCAAAGGTCGCACTCGTGAGCACCTTGTGTTGGGTGTTTGGACTCGAGGCTTCGCAACACTGTACACCCCAAACCCCTCACTCCAGCCCATCCTTGGTGTGCCGAGACGAGGATCCACACATACCGCGTGGCGGAGACTTTCCTGTGTCTCGGTATTTGTTTCATTTCATGTCTCTACAAATACTTATGTACATGTATGTATGTACGTATGTATGTATGCATGTGTATTATGTGCATGTATTGTGCATGTATGTATGTATGCATGCATATGTGTTGCATGCATATGTGTACGCATGTTCGTACTTGTTTATTCGCCTAAGGATATATGAACTTATTTATGAGTGTTTTTAGATACTCGCTTGTTGCTTTGCTTATTTGCTTGTATTCACTACTAGTGCTTCTACTATCACTACCCCAACTACCCCTCCTACTCCTCCTCAGCCACACTACCACTACCCCAACTACTCCTACTACTCCTTCTCAGCCACACACAGGATTGCTGCGATGCGTTTTCAGAATCTCAAGTCCTAAGGTGCTACTCCCAACAGCCACAACACCCAGACCTGAAACATCTAAGGCTTGGCTTAATACAGTGACTTAAATAGTTACCATTACCATTTCTGGATTCCTTATTTTACTTTGTTTAATATGCCCCAAACCCTATTCTAGTTATTAAGACCCCTACATCATAGAAACGTTTATACTAACCCGTACTATTCTGAAGTCGTACTATTCTGTTAAAGGGACCCTCGAAGGGACTAAGGCCATAAAATTAAACTGCCATCGCCAAAGAGAGCCGGAAGCTCAACAGTTAGTTACTTCAGGGCAGGGTGTTTGTAAGTTTCTCGGCAATGCAGGACCTGAAGATGATCTAGCCTCGAATGTTTTGCCTGCTATACTTGGTCTATCTTTCAAGGTTGGAGCTGCATTTGGCCCGGTTCTTGAAGAAGCGAGTTTACACATGATCCGGGTCCACTTGAACACTTCGACTAGTCGAGGTCCTGGTTGGACGTTTTGTTGGGGCTTAGGTGCAAAAGCCTTCAAACCGCTCATGGGAAGCGCAAGGGTCATCAGAGACCGAACCCCCAGACCCTGAACCCTAAACCCGATGCGGGCTCATCCTAGCTAGGTGGGAGGCAAAACTTAGGGGTACTTAGAAATTGTTCTTAACTTTTGGTTATTATAATCCCTAAGAAACAGCTAAAATTATGATTGTTGCTAGGGTTCTAAGTTCAGTATAGAAAACCCGACAAGTCGCCAACTCTCCGGTCCGAGGCCAATGAAGACGCCGAAGTTCTACTTCGGCGACATTAGCAACGAGACGTCGAACTTCATCTTAATCACGGCCCCTTCTCCTGCATACGTGAGTCTGAGCACGGCTCGACTGGAGGGTTTCAGGTTTAGGGATCGTTTATCAAAGGGCAAAAGCAAAGACCCTTAATGGGGACCCCCACCCTATAATGGGCTATATAATGGGTATATAATCGGTACATTAAGGCTATATACCTAGGGGTCCTTACTTAAGGGTCCCTCCTTTTACCCTCTGATTTTAGTTTCTCCGCAATTTCGATTTATAAATGGTAGCCCCTTCACAGGACGCACCTCTGCAATTCGGAGTGCGCATTCAACAATTTCCAAGGCTAAAAGGAGGGACCCTTAATAAGGACCCCTAGATATACCCTTAATACAGCTATTATATACCCATTATATAGCGCATTATAAGGTAGGGGTCCCGATTAATATCTCACTGTCAGCCCCATGCTCTTTCTCATAGAAGCCCAGCCATGAGACCTCGGGCGCCATAGGGGGCACCAGAAAGTTGAGGGGATATGGGAGTTTCCGAAAATAGGGGACCCTGATATAGCACCCTAAATAGTAGGATCCTTATAATAAGGACCCCTAAAGAAGGTGAAACTCCCATATAAATGAGCTGGCGAGGGGGTTCAGAATGAACTGCTTCAAGACCACGGTGAACCCCTAAACGCACAACCCTTAACCCCTAAGCTGGATTGTCCGAGTGTGAACGCCGAAACCCCTACGCCCTAAATTGTCTCTTAGAAACCTCGGTATCCTTCCAGAACCATGAAGCCGAGTGTACCTCGAGAGTGATCCCAATGCTTACCTTAGTTGCTGTAGAGTGGGTCTAAAGCACGAAGAAGCCGTGTAATGCGGACCCTATAGTAGAAGCCAGAAAGGTGGAACATCGTTATCCTCATGCCCTTAAGGTAAATTACAGGGAATCCTAAATCTATGTTCCAACTTTCTGGGCTTCACCCTTAAGCCCCAAACCCTAAACGCTTATTAAGATCCCCGACCCCCAATGCTGAAAAGGAGAGGATCCCCTTTGCGCAGATGGAGGGCCGGCAACCTGGGGATTCCTTGCAGCCCTTCGAGATCGACTCCTGGGCTTCCAAATGGGGGTTTCCAGAAATTAGGGGTACCGTATTTTGGGGCCCTTTATACTAAGGATCCTACTAATACTATTTAGGGTACTACATTAAGGGTCCCCTCTTTTCGGGAAACTCCCAAATCGCGGGGTTTAGGGGCTGCATTATGTTTTAATTGGCTTGATGTAAATATAGAAATGTGTGTGAATAGGGCTTGTTTGGGGGCTGCATTTTGTTTTAATGGGCTTTAGGTAAATGTAGAAATGTGTGTGAATAGGGCCCCCTTTGGGGGCTTCAGGTTTAGGGAAGCGGGCAGGTATGGCATGCTGAGGAAAGCTGAGGGCAACACTTAGGGGTCAGGGCTTTGAGTGGCAAGGGAGCAGCACCAATTGCTTTTTGTGCCAAATTGTCTCTTGTGCCACCGAGCGCTTTCTGCTGCAGTAGGTATTTAAAGGCATGCTTACAGTGCCGGTGATCCTTAAAGTGCGCTTTTGGACGGTTTGGAGCTGCAGGTGCGGTATTTTCACAGGTTCGGTGTTGTCCTTGTCTCAGTCTTTCGAAGACTTGCATATCAAGCATGGAGCTCCTACGCGGACAGGCTTCCGTCGACACATCGTGTACTTTAGACTTCAAGACCATTTCCGAGATTCAGGGCTTTTGGGGATCCCGGAAGCAGGCTTGAGTGTTTGGACAGCCACTGGCTCTGGGCCCGGTTCTTTTCCATGTCTCTGCATCGGCGAGGAAGGCCCTTACGACAAGTGCAAAGACTACGAGCTGCATGGTTCGGGCAAGGACCCGGTATGTCTAGCTTGAGATCGAAGCTTTTAGTAACCTCCGGAAGCGGGTATGAGCCAGTGCTTAGTGAACAAGTAAGTATGCGACGACGGCGGCGACTTCTATGCCTACTAGTCTACGGCGACTTCTCCGGATATTGCTGATGCTGTCGGTTTGCAGGAGTACTACACGCTGATCATGCAGATGAGTGGGAAGCTTGCAGCGGCCGGCAGATCCGGAAAGATGGGCACACGAGAGCTGCGAAGCTAAACGGAGTCGCCTAGCAAGGAGTGGGGTTTGGGGAACCTTAAGAAACAAACATGCAAATTAAATTCGGCCCCGCGAATGTCTTCGGACCCCCAGACTCAGAAGGGCTTGACACGGCTTCGGGCATCCAGACGAGAAGGTTTTGTCCAGGTGGTGAGTTCTGCGGTAGATCGTGCAGACAGCAATCCGGCGTTCGGAGATGGAGCACTCCAACTCGAAGAAGTACTGCACAAGTTCGCAAGCTGACGAACAAAGCTAGACACCCTCAATCCTTAAGTCTGAGGGCTTGACATCGTTCAGAAAGACATCCAGCAAATGAATGAGCTGCCCTTGTTTTGACCAGAGGTTTGTCCAGGAGAACTTTGGCGTTCTCCCTGAATCTTGGCTGGCCAACCAAGAGGCTGTGAATATATGTGAGCACAATCGCACTAGTCTTGTGATCCGGTTACTATGTTGTAGTTTCGAAAACTTGTAGTTCTTTAATCTGATTATGCAGCAGCATGCTACGAAAAGTTGAAACGTGGGTTCAGGGAAATTAGCACTGGCATTCTCGATGTTTGCTGTAAGAGCGGCAGGATGCGGCTGTTCCAACTTTCTGGCTGCTACTTTACCTGGGCGGTTGTCAAAATTCTGGTCCCTTTTTGGGTACCCTAAATATTAGGTGCCGTATTATAATGAGGACCACAAAAAGGGACCCCAATTTTGACAACCACCCACCTGATATCCCCTCGAGTTTTTGAGAGTGTTTACAATACGAAGCACTACTACCAGAATCCTTGTCCTGCGTTTGCATTCTGTGTTTGACCGCGAATGACCAGGGATTGCTCAATTGAGGTTATTTGATTCACAACAGCCCTTTCTCTTCCTCTCGGCAGAACTGTTTTTAGGTTAAATCAGCACAGCCAAGGCCTGAAAAATCCTCCGAGCCCTGAGAGTCTTTGTGGTTCCCCCTTCGGTAGTGTTGTTAGGAGCTTCAGCGATTACTCAAGAAAATATTTCAGGTTGGGTTCTGAGGGCGCTTAAGGTTTCACTGCCTGCGTGAGGCTGCGCACCTGGACAGGACCCCTGGTTTCTACAAAAGCCACCTACAGATCCCACGAGCATCCGCAAGAGGGCCAAGGAAAACTTTAAACTCCCGAAGCCGCGAAACCCTAACCGAGAACTAAAACCCCGAACCCGGGATCTTAGGCCGTTACCTTTAAGCCCCCATGCCCGAAAGCCTAAGCTACGGTTGATGGTATAAACCCTGCATTACCCATACTAGGGAACATACCATAATGTCCATACTCTAGGGTCCTTAATGTAATGCAGGGTTTATATCATCAACAGTAGGATCCTCCCAGGATGTGTCGAAACCCGAGCTTTGGGGCGTGGTCTTGGACGGACCGTCGGGCGGAATGCCCCAGGTGAGCTCCCTGTTCTGTTGAGGGCGTTCACGGGTTTAAGCCGTTTAAAGTTTTCTTTTGGTTTAGGTTAGGTCTACTAACTAGCGCGGTGCCTTCATTTCTCACGGTTAATATGGCCCGTCCTGTGGTCCTTTTCCTGGACGGTGTGGGTTGAGGGTTTGGGGGTGCTGGGGTTCAGGGTTGAAGGAGGGTTTACGTGATGTGGGTGCCGATGATTGCTTTGGATTTGCGGCTTGTGCTCGCACCAAGCGGGAGCAAACAATAGGGGTTTGAGATTTTTAAGGGATTTTGTGAACGCTCCAGGTTTTGGATGTAGGGGTTCAGATGGAGACATGGAGTTAGGATTTACAGGTGTTGGGACCTAGGCACTGTTCCAGGTGTTTGCCGCATGGCTTGAAGCTGCAACAGTCCTAGACTCGAGAAGTGTTGCGCAGGGGACGATGCCGAAGCTCAAAATCGGCATCCAGCGACTCAGATGAGACATGTCTTGAGTTTCGGATTCAGGTGATGGGTGGAGGGGGAGGGGTGCTATCTATTTGTACATACATGCATACATACATACCTACAACATGCCTACATACAGGCATGCACACGTAAGTAATCGTGCATGTGCCTGAGTGTCTTTGATGGGAGGTATGTTTGTGCATATGTACTTCAAAAGTTATGCATATGTGCATGCATGTATGTATGTGTGCAGGTATCTGTACATGCCGATGTATGTGTATAAACCTCTGCATGTAAGTCATTGCACGGAAGTAACTGTTTTAATGGATACTATAGTCTTCGTTAATGATTTGAAGCCTCGGAATTTGCCTTGTCCAGGTTTTTCTCAAAGACAGCCGCAGTCCTTTTCCCGGAGTATGCAAAGACGGAGGCGTTCATCGAGAAGTTTACCAGGCCTGGGTGTGTGGTTTGTTTGTCTCCACCGTGAAGCCCAAAATGCCCCGAAATTCTGGATCCCGAAGCCATCAAAGGGGCTGTCAAGGGGGGCTTTGAAGGGGCTTTAAAGGTAAACCCCGCAACCCGGAATGTGAACCCAAAGCTCTGGCGTTGGAAAGAGCAGCCCCAGCCTGTAGAGCAGGACTATGATGACCTTCGTGGCCTACACCAAGGAGATCGATTACTGGAAGCACTTTGGTTTTTGATGAAGTGCAGTAGTGCAACGGATACGATTACGCCTGTTGCCTGCTACTGCCACTGCTGCTTTTGAGAGCAGCAACTGCTGCTGCTTCTACTTGTGCCTGCACGACGAGGACGCCTTTTCTGCTACTGATACCAGTACTCCTAGAGTTGTGCCACAGCTCTGCTTCCACTACTGTGCGTGTACCTCCGAGAGCAGCCTTCTTCTCTTCTTCTACATATTTGCGCATCATCTAATACTACGGAACTATGCTTCCTGCACCCGCGACCTCGAACATGTAGCCACATCTTTGCAGTCTTCGTCGCCTTACATGACAGCAGCATTCATGACGGAGTCATGGAATCCGGAGCCTCGGGCAGAGTTCTCGGTAGTCCTCCCATCAGTAGCAGGTGTATGGATTCATCACCGGTCGGGGTGTGAGTTTGGAACACAGGGTTGCAACTACTATGGGGGCTTAAAAAATTACCTATACCATTTTCGGGTGTTCCTTATTCTAATTCTAGCATAATCTACCCAAGACCCTATTCTACTCATGAATATCCCTATATTAGCCTCTGAGAGCCGGTGGCTAAGGCACCTGGATGCCGACTATATTGCCCTGACGCACGCCGCTAGAGCTGCACTGCTCCAACCGGCCCTAGCCGAAACGCCAAACCCGAAGCTTGGGAAGTGTAGCAGGGAGTAAGGAGTAAGGGCAATGTCACCACAACAGGATTAGACATTTTCTGATACTTTGGTCGCCGTTGCCCGAAGTCTCCCGCGATTTCTGGGGCTTGTGACTATGGACTAAGCTCAATTGGGGTTTCGGGTTTAGGGTCTTGAGTTGGTTCTGGCAGCCTAACGAAGCCCCTTCCATCGCTGCGAGGCCAACCTCAACGTGACCAGACTGCAGAACCGGCGAGGGAGCATGTGGCATGTGGGAGTTGGGGTCAAAACCTTTCAGGTTTTCAGGTTTAGTGAGTAAGCTTCAGGATGAGAACTGAGGAGTAGGAGGTGCTAGATGGCAGGGTATCCGGGTTGAGGCTCAGGGCTCAAAGTTTCAAGGTTTTCTGGGTTGGCTTTCGGCTTAGATGCTAGGAAGATAACTCTGCCACCGGACAGCTTGTGGCAACCCCGTTCGATTCGTTGAGCAGCAGGAGAGCTACAAACTGTAGACGCCGTAGACCCATTGAATCATTTTGTTGCTGTTGCCGACAGCGCTTAGTTCCCCGCCTCCTCAAACCCCAAACAACAGGAACAAACCCTAGTACACCGTTACACCGTAACAAGCCTTAAGAACCCCCAACAAACCGTAGTAAGAGCGAACGAAGCTGGACCCTTGAAAGCCCGAGCTGGGCCTGAATTCTAAGCCCTCGCGCTTGACACCCTGACCCTTTCAAGCCTGGTGAACTAACTCCCTAGGCGAAGAGCATATGATAAGCAGTGTTTTGCAAGGTTCCTGACATGCGATACACTGGACAGCACCCACAAACCTGGAGGTAATTGTCCGACTGTGCTTTGAGTATAATGCACCTTGGATTCGGACCGTCCTTTTCCAAGCCCTTCACATCTCGAGCACTGCGAATCTGCGTGCTCAAGGTAGACAATGCCTACTTCTGGCGAGACGATCAGGGCCAATTGGAATCTCAGGCTTTAGAGTGCACGTCGATACGCCATTGTGACCTACATCCCTAAGCTTCAAAAACGCTTATTTGCTAAGCTCCACAGGCTTTCGTGCATGCTTATCATGGCCTTGCGGTCTCAAACTTCCAGACGTGAGAGAACACCTCAAGTCAAAAGTCAAGCAGCCTCGAATCAACGGCAGTGTTTCGACCACATCGATCCTGAGGTTTCGATTCTGCATAGATTCAAACACCCCAGGACCCAGGACCCTTTTGGGCGGTTAAGGACCGTTGCAGTGTTGATTGGAGGTGAGTATTGCAACACTCACAGCACCAGAGCAAAGCTGCATCAGGCTTTTAGTGGGTCAGGTATCATGGGCTCAGACCCTATCCGTATGGTACAAGAAGCAAATTGCCGAGGACTGCGGAGTGCTGGACTGGGGCGGATTCGGTGCGGCGTGTCCTCTGGAGGGGAACACTATGAAGTTTAAGCTGCTGTTTAGGGTTTTAAGCTGCTGTTCTGCATGTGAATCAATTCCCTGCTTGTGTCCTTCTGGGATTCTGTTCTGTGTTGGCCCTTGCCATGCAAACTTCCTAAGACGCTCTGTCTCTGACATTTCTGTGGTGTTTGGGCATTAGAATCGTGGTACGGTTGATGATACAAATGTTGCATTACCTTCAGGACCCTAAACTATGTGAATCATGGTATATTCCTGATCATGGAATAATGCGGGGTTTATATCATCAACCGTAGGAGCGTGTGTTTTAGTCGAGGCTCCAAAGTCTCTTGGATCTTCCAGGGCTTCCGAAGTCGCCTTCTTCGGGAAATTTTACGTAAAAATGGAGACTGGTTGTTTAAGGTAAAAGCCAGAAAGTTGGAATATGATTATCCTAACCCTTCTATGGTAAATTATAGGGTATCCTACCATGAAACCATATTCCAACTTTATGGAGTTTCCTATAATGTCGCGGGTCCAAACCCCCTAGTAGTACCCTCCCCTCTTCTGACTTGTCGAGCACGAATGACAAAAAAGTCGTACCCTCATGGATCCCTTATAGTAATCCTGATAGGAACGCTTACAGGAAACCTAGACTGTTAGATGTTGGTGGGCTGTAGGATCCGGTTACGGTGAACCTGACGGGTTCGCACAGAAGCCTGCAACTCATATAGGGGCCTTCATAATTAAAATAGGGTGTGGGGGCCTACGATAACTATAATCAAAATATAGTAGCCCCGAAAGTGCATTGGTTACAATTTAGGCCCCTATAGTAACTTGGAGCAGGCGTTGGGGTCCCGAAGTGCCAGCTCTGAGGTGTGGGACACAAGATCTACTGGTACATCAACTGTGCTGAGTGGGCAGCTGCCTTAGTTGTTCTGACTGAGAGTCGAGTTGTCTCGGGCCCAAAGAAAAGTGCATATAGATGACAGTCTACCTTGCTGCTCTTGAGAAAGGAAGTGCCGTTTACCTAGGCACTCACCGGGGTTTTGCAGTCCAGTGCCAACAGACAAAATATGTCACGTTCAGCTGCATAGCTGCAGGAGAACAACAAACAGAATCTCCGCTTTTATCTGGAAACCTTCGCGAAGACCTATCACGACACTCGGTTGCACTTCCTGCTGGTGCTGTGGATTTCAATTCAAGGTTCAGCTTCCGTTCGTACAGCAACCGTCCAAGTCAGCCCCATGCTCCAGCCTGTATTCCTGCGCCTCCAGCTGTGTTTCCGCACTCTGACCCCAGTTGTTCGAGGTTTCTAAGCAACCTCTCGAGGCTGCCAGATCCCAGTCTTCCCCACCAGCAATCCTTGCAGAGTGCAAGAGTTCGATACGTTGTGGGGAACTGGCTCTAATGACTTAGTTCCGGATCCTCAAAATGAGAGTAGAAGGTCCATTTTATGTGCGCGACCAACGGTAGGGACTGCCTCTTTCCGTTTAGCAGGGCTGCGTGCGAATCTTGGATTTGTTGTTGTATCAGTTCCCCTGCCAGCTATCTCACCCAGCAGACTCGTCATCATACGCTTCGCCTGGATTGTGCGAGTTGTGAGCGCCGAGACCCAAAACCTAAGCTAACATGGCCCATATGAAGAACCCCTTCAAAAGCCTGGTGTTTCTTGGCCAGCGTCTTCTTCTAAATCGACAGCTGGGGTGGTGCCTGGAGCCTTTAACCCACACTGAACTTCAGGACAGCTAGGGTTGGGGGTTGGGCAAAACAGCCACCCCAGACTGAAACAAACAACCGAGACAGTGAACCCCCGAACCGTGAGCCCCAAGACATAAACCCCAAATCCCTCTGCAGGAGGAGGGCGGTCCTCTTCTTGACTTGGACAAGCTAGAGATGATGCCACTTGCAAGAGTTGGGAGCTTGACATGTGAATGCCTTGCATGTAGATCCCGAGCTTTTGCTATGTGTCAAGCACGTTCTGCAGAAAGGAAGTTGCAGATGTATACAGGCCTGACAACACCCCTGATGAGCAGTACCCTTCGCAGCTAACCCCGCGGAACAGTGCACCCTGAAGTATCGAGGCTAGGGCAGAGTACAAGAAGCACTGCTTCCCATGCAAGGGTTACCACGCGGTCAGAGCAAGAGCTTCAAAGACAGCTCACGATCAGGGCAGTGGCGATGGTACACGTCGTCAGAGTACTCATCGCAGAGCCATCCGTTGTGCATAATGTTACAAGCAGTCACGATGACAACCCTGCTCCCCGGGGCTCGTGGCGATGTTGCTAATGACATGTCAATAAGTAATAGCTGTAGTAGACTGGTGTGCCTGAACAATGGACCCGAGGGTGAAACTCACCGGACTGGGCTGCTCGGCGTCGTCGAGACGGGGCACGGGAATCTGGTAGAGGTCTTTACCGGTAGGGTACACGCCTAAGGGAGGTTGACTGAGTTTGAGATGGAAGGTGTAGGGTTCGTGGGTTAGGGTGCCAAAAGGGTTTAGGATCTTGTGTCCATTACAGCAGATATCGGGAGCTTTTTGGCCTACCCTTGACATTCTCCCCTGCTGTCCGGTTCTTCTTGGGGCTTCAGAGGCTCTGTCTCGAGCTGTGGGTGTGCTGATTCCCGCTGTAAAGGGCACCTCCTGCTGCAGTGATCGCCACTTCGTTGCTGAGGAGTGTGGCCCTGTAGCTATGGACCACGAATATGATGTCAATCATACATGCACCATGACCTTAGATGTACTGCAGGAGCGGTTGCTTTCAGAGTCATTCGCTCTTCATCCGTTATGATGATGACGACTGCAAACTCGACAGCGTGGACCATCAGTACCAGTACCAGCACCAACGCCACCGCCTATGTCTTTCGCCCTTAGGCAAGATTTGTTGTTGATCTGCGTCGATTCATGATGGTTCAATGTAAAGATGGCCTTGCTTGGCGATCATGCCTGGGCAAGCTTGTATGGTTTGCCTGTTCGACCTGCATGTTTCATGCAGCCTCGGACAGGGATTCTCAGTCAAGGACGCTCACAGGAGGAGGCCTTGTAACGCCGGTTCTGCTCGAACTGCTACTACTACTACTACTACTACTACTACTACTACTACTACTACTACTACTACTACTACTACTACTGCTACTATTACTACTACTACTCCTGCTGCTGCTGCTACTACTACTACGACTACTACGGCGACGGCGACGACTATTACTGCCACTACTACCACCCTACTACCCTACTCCTGCTGCTGCTTCTTCTGCGACTGGTGCTGACACGATGTCGCTTCAATCGACTGGTGGGACCCCGAGGCAATCTGATGAATATGGTTGCTGCTGTTCCAGACTGCCTTCGACAGCTTCCCGAGAAGGCAGCCGCCGCCACCATAAAAGCAGCGAAGTGTTTAGGGTTTTGCGCATTAGGGTTTGCAGGCTTCGGGATTTCAGCTTGGGGCTCGATATCGTACATAAGTTGCGAGACATTCTGTCTTGCTGTTTGGGTGAGGGTTGCAGCCAGTGGTGCTGCAGAGTCGCTTGGCCTCAGTTTCCTTCTTCGAGGGCACCCGGCAGTCGCAATAGTTCTGAATGCAAACCAGGATTTGGTGCCTGGGGCTTTTCTCTCGAGGTTCACGGCTGATCCTAGGCTTGGGGGCTTGATGCTTTAACAGTTACGCCGCCTCGAGGAATTCTGAAGTTGATCGTTCGCTCGTGCAGTGGTCTCGACTCGCTCGGATTCACGCGCTTAGCGGGACGACGTTCAGAAGTTGACCTTTTTGACTCGAATTGTCGCTGGAAAAGTCTAGACTCAAATATGAAATCTAGTGCATAAGCCCCTAATTAAACCCCACGCCCCACCCTATGTTTGAAACCACCTGGGGCTCTGCATACGTTACCGAAAACCTGAGGCTCGAAACTGCACCCCATCGTAGAGCCTTGGCGTCGTAGACTAGGGGTTCAGGTTTCGGGGCGGCTGAGAGGTTAATCAAGACTCTACACCCTAAGCCCGGGCTTAGGGTTTAGATGATAAGGAGGCCCTGTCCACCTCTCTTGTACTGGGCTCTCTCGGCGCAGGACTGGGCCAGCGTCAAGGACCGTTTTGACGACAAGATCACGCAAAACCTGCATGGGAAGAGCGCCTTGGTTTCGGTTTTGGTGTTACGGCTCCGGCGGGGCCATGCCCACGCTCTTATACCAATAGAAGGTAGGGATTATACTTATACACGACACATATCTAGGTTTGCAGTCTGGGATTAGGCTTCTGGTGGTAAGGTGGGAGTGGAGGGGCAGGACTTAGAGCTTCTCTTAGAATTGTTGAGCCAAAAATGGCTCTTGTTGAGTTTTAACCGGGACTAGAAGTGTCGGAGCCCTGGTCCGAGACCCCAGGAGCCCGAAGGCGTGCCGCCAGTAGTATAAGACTTTCCAATACCACTTGGGGGGGGTCCTTTTCCAGGGTCTGTGAGGGTTACCATAGGGGCTTCTATTAGGGTTTAGTGTAGGGGCCTAAAGACTTACCACTACTATTTTGGGGGAGGGAGGGTTCCTCATTTTTTTCTAGAGGCCCAAGGCCAAGCTAAGAGTTCGAATCTAGATTTCGTCGGGCAAGCGGGGTTGTCTCTGAGCTACGCAAGATTCTGGTGACATTTTCCACATGGGGGAAGAGGGGGTTTCCACTTACGATCTGGGAATTGGAGTTTGCAACTATGCGGGGAGGTAATGAGGTTGGCATTTATCGTTTATTTAGAGGTTTTGGGCTTTCCACTAGTACCGTTGGTCTGGAACTGTCCCAAAATCCAGAAATCCAGAAACCCTAAGTTCCCAAAACTTGAGCCTCAATCCTAAACCCTGAAACAGCTTATCGAGAGCATGAGCTGCAAAAGCTCCCTGAGCTGATCAATTTGAAAGGCACTTTGCGGACAACTCTACGAGCCATGGATAACGGTCTCCGACTCTTCGCAGCATTTTGGTGGACTTCGAAGAGAGAGTTCCCCTTCTTGAGTCTTTGCTTTATGAGCACTCACGGCTGGGGTCGTCGACTCTAACAAGGACAAAGAAACCCCGCCAGCACCAAGTAGGGCTTTGCTCTTTTCTGTGAAGTTGGAGTCGAGACGTTATGGTTTTAGGGTTTAGAAGAGTAGAGATCAGCAGCTTGGAGTTTGCAAGCTTGCGGTCAAGAGGCGTAGGGGTTAGTCGCAGTAGGCTTGTAGCCTTTTTATGTCTTGGGATAGTATACACCTTCGACAATCCGACTAACTAACCGCTGGTTCCCCTACAGTAGGAATCTGGACAAATCGACGCCTCAAGGCTTGAATTCCGAACCATCCGAAGCCCTCCATTAATTAATGCGTAAGGCATGAGGCTGTGGGCAAGCACCGAGAGCCGTTCAAAAAGGGCGTTGAGCTTATTGCAGCCCATGCATTACGCAGCCGGGCAAACTCTAAACTACAAAACGCTTTATGTGAACCCTCAAGCCCAAAGGCTTCAGGACCAAAAAATACGTAGGGAGCTGAAGCGTCCACACCACGGACGTGACCGCAGGTCGTCACGAACCCCTCCTCACGGAGATGAAACTCGCAAGACTCCATGGTCTGCTGTTGCGTTAACGCTATAACGTTTCGACCTTTAGACCCTTGCCTTACTGCTGCAAACTCCAGAAAGACACCGCTCGGCCTTGAAAAAGCCCAGGCATCATCGAAGAGCTCGAGGTGGGTAGGGCTCAGACAGGGTTTGGAGGGTTTCATAAGATCCCCCGGCATTGCACCCTTCTTACGAAGGGAGACCTGGGAAATGCAGCGCTTGGGAAGGTCGACAAGCTGCTGGAGCAATGGGTGGATGAGATCTGGGTTGGCTGGGACCTTACTGTGCTCGCAGAATGGTAGCCTGGTAGCACGAACAAGGATAACTCTGATCTTAAAGATGTGAACAAAACTAACGCGGTGATCTTGGGGTTGGGGAGCTCGAGTTGCTAAGACATTGCTTGGTGGCTGAGTAGGTCTAAGCTTCAACCTTTCCGATGCTGATAGATCCTTGCCAACACTAAACGGATAACACCCCCATCCCCCAAAATGGTACTGGTAAGTCTTTAGGACCCTACACTAAACCCTTATAGTAGCCCTTCTAGTAACCTTTGGGGCCTCCTGTGGAGTCTTTCCAAAAACCAATCGGATGAATTACCGTTGGTGCCAGGGAACTCCTCAGGCACCTCGTCAAGCTTCGGCTTCGAGGCACTCGTACAAAGCCGCCCTGAACCCCAAACACTTGTTCTTCTTACCTTTGGTTAGTAGGGAATGGAGGAATGGGGTACAATTATAACTACTATTACTACCGTTCTTCCATTCCCTACTAACCAAAGGTAAGTCTTGTTTTTCATGCCCCAAGCATAGGAGCCACTTGTTCCCTGAAGGTATCACTCATTTGCAACCCCGAAAGCTTTGCAGTCCCTGGCGTGAATCCGGCGCCCTGGGCCCTAAACTTGAAACCACAGACTCACTTTTGATTGAGTTAAGCTCGAAGTGCCAGAAAACAAAACGCAGCCCTTCAAACGTTGAAGTTAGGAAGAAAGCTACGCTCAAAACTCCCAACTTGAAGCCAAGCTCGACAAACATTGACAGCCGTTAGTACGATGAGAGCAGCAACAACGATGGCCGGGATCTTGACGGTGCTGATGATGGCATGTGATGGTGATGACAATGGGGATGATGGTGAGGATGAAGAATGCAGCGATGGTGATAGTTTATGATAGCGACAAGTGTTCCTGCAAGCTCTGAATTAAACGCCACCTGCGTTCTTGTCAGTAGTCCTGGTACTTGCTCTCGGTATTCTACGGTCACCGACACTCTGCTCACCTTGCTTTTTACTTAAGGTGGTCAGCAAACTTCCGGAACTACCCATAACCTTAGCATGTCGCTGCAATCAGTGCTTTACGACCGCGTGCTCAAAAAAAGCTGCAACACCGGCGCCGAGCCTAAAAACTTGGACTCCTTCACTACATAGATCCTTTTTTTCGGTGGTTTTAAGCCTCAACTAACCATTGACATCGGAGGAGCTAAAGAGCCAGGGATGAAGATAATTTTTTAGAAAATCAGGAGCTAAAGGGCCAAGGGAGCCCCAAAACCACTGGTTAGTTAAACTTCAGGCTGGATAGTAATAATTGGAGTTATAATGCCCCTAATATGGGTTATAAGACAAGTTGCCTTACCAATAGCCCTACTTATAAGTACCCCTGAAGCTCCAACTATAGGGGCCTCTAAGATTCGAAAAGGGTTTCGGGGCCCGTTATACTATACTGATAGTATGGAACCACAACGGAGTTTCCGAAAATTAGGGTACCTTTCGGAGTCCTTATAATAAGGATCCTAACTTATACGGAACTACACTGGGGTCCCCTATTTTCGGAAACTCCCACAAGATTTGGGCAGTCCGTGGCTCCCAGCTTAGGTTGAGACAGGGTTAGTTATGGGAGTTTCCGAAAATTGGGGTACCTTACTCCCAAATGATTAAACGGTTTAAGCGTTCCAAGCCTAGTGCCACGGGCCTTAAAAATTATGAGAAAGGTTTTTGGAGGGCTCCTTATTATAGTTATACTATAGTATACCCCCAAGCGCTATTCTATTCATTAAGGCTTCAGGCCTACGAAAAAACTACACGCCTTTCGTCGGCCCAGAGTGTGGAGATCCGCTTAGGCCAAGGGTAAAAGGAGGGACCCTTAATAAGGACCCCTAGGTATATACCCTTAATATAGCCATTATATACCCATTATATAGCCCATTATAGGATAGGGGTCCCCATTAAGGGTCCCTCCTTTTCCCCTTTGACTTAGGCCAGCTGGGACTTCCGAAGAAAACCGATGCGATGATCTTCGGCTGAGCCCCAAGCGGCGCTGAGGGTCCCTAAACCCGAAACCGGCGTGTATTTTAGGCCGAGTTTAGGATTGTAAGGTTTAGCAGTTCGCAACCTCCTGTAAAGGAGGAATCTGGGGTTCAGCAGTTTAAGGTCTTGGGTTCAGGGACACTGTGCTCTTGTCGTGCGTTTCCGGGCTGAATCACAGCGGCCCGGCCAGGAAAGCCAAAGAGTCAAGTGCAAGAGGTACTAGAGCTTTGCAGGTCATGGAGGTTGGTCGGGGCGGTACAAGAGGGGAGATCCTACTTTCAAGCGTCTGTAAGCTTCCGGAACGCTGCCGTGTCGAGCGTGCCTCCGTTTGTAGCAGCATGAACCTGAACCCTGAAAACCCTTCAAGATGCTTGGAGGAATTCACTGAAGCGTGCCGCATCCCAGTGTTTGAAATCTAGCTTCCGGCCGATAAAGCCGCGTATAAACATTACAGACTGTCCTAGAAAACTCCAGGGGTTTAAGCCGATGAGCCTTCAGCAACTCTTCACAAGGACCTCTCTTCTGAGAAGAGAAGGTCCTGCCACATGTTGCAAAGCTCGGAGCAGGTTTCTGTACATACACCCAGTTCCCAAAGTCCCTAGACTGTCTGGTTCTTAGTAGGGGAATGGGGGAACGGGTTATGGGGATTAGTATCGGGGATTATATAGGGACTACTATTCACCCATTCATTCCCTACTAAGCACCAGACAGTAGAAGGACCCAAAAGGGCCTGCGTTGGGGGATCCTCTACATGACTTAGGGCCAGATGGTGATGGCTTCGGGTAGATACTTTCATCAAAGGCGTTCGGGCTTTCGGGCTGTTTTCGGTGACCCGAACGCTAAGACCCCTCCCGACAAGGAGCCCCGCAACCGTGAACGGAGTCGGGTCGGAACGGAACTTCTGCTTTTGGAGAAGAGCTTGGGGAGCTATGCGTGAGAGGACCTTCAAGTCAAGGGAGCCAAGCAGAGCGCAGCAGCAGCTGGAGACTTTGAAGGAGATCTTGGAAAAAGCTACTATAGGAGCCTAAACAAATACCAATACTAATTTGGGGGCTCCTTATTTTGCTTAGAGTATCATGGACCCCAAAACCCTATTCTAATTATTATGGCCTCTATATTCATTCATCTTGCCACAAGTGAAGGTGGGTAGGATACGGGGCACAGGGAGGGATGCATCTGGAGCCTCGGCATGAAGAGCCCGGACAGGTCAAGATGTGTAAGTACTCCTGCTTTATGCAATGCTCGGCCAATTATTTAAGGGGCGGAGCATTTCAAATCGCAAGAAGAGGTCTCGGAAAAGTTGGACTTTAGGCAGCATAGGAGCAACAGAGTTGCAGAAGTTTGGGAACTGGGTTAGCTCGTCCAAATGATCTTCCCGATCGCTTGTCAGCTGCGCAGAGAAAATGTGTTGCCACAGCAGCTTGGCATGCTCAACCAGCAACCCCGAACCCTTACTATAGGGGCCATAACTATAGGGAACCATTAAGGGGTCCTGTCAAGGGGCCTATAACGGATCTATGGTAAGGTTCTATGATATAGGGGCTTGAATAGTTACCTATACTATGTTGGGGGTTCCTTATTGAAACTATAGTAGAATGGGCCCCAAAACCCTATACTAAGTATTAAGGCCCCAAACGCTTAGGCTTTTCATTCGGGAGCCTCTGGCGCTGCAGGTGAATGCATCACAGGAGAAAGTGAGTAATAAACCCTAATGAAACAAACCACTGAGAGACTGCGTGTGACGTTGTATGGTTTGGTCCGGTAATACGTTGGTTGTCGATTTTTGGGTTTGTTTGTTCATAGCCGAACGTAGCTGAGAACCCCAAGACCGTGAAGCCGTGCCTGCCTTCTGCGAGTGTGAGAGTCGAAACCCGCTATACCCATAGACGTTACCTTAGGAGGCGTACCGGTAGCTTCGGGAAGTAGCTCCACCCTGATGGACGCTGTTATCTGGGCTTCGGCCGGCAGCTGTAGCCTGAAATTCCCACAATGAAACAGAAGCAAGAACTAATAGTACTACAATATTACCACCATATTACTATCATATTACTACCATATAACTACTATTACTACCATGATGTTCAGGGTTTAGAGCCTTGAGATCCTAACATTCAGTTGATGAACCCTCGGCCCTCAGTCTGCAGGAGGAGCCCGTAGAAATTCTTAGAACAGTGCTTTAGGGCATATTATAGTCAGCACAAATCATGATAGTAAGGAACTGAATAAAACAGTGACTTGAATTCGATCTGCATCTTGACAGAGGGGAGAAGGGAAGCCTAAGACCTTGAGCTTGGATACCGCCCCCACACAGTAACAGTTGATAGCACTTACCATAATGGTATATACGCACCTTAATAGTATCCTTCGAGATCTACTTCCAGGCTTTTCAATGTCCAGCCTAGGCGAGTGTCAAGCTGTTCTTACAGGCTTTAGCAGGGTACCAAGTTGCTTGGTACTATATATTATTGGGAGTGGACGAAACCCGAACACCCCAAAACAGCCTGGGCACAAATCTCGCACATACGGTCCCTATGAACCGCTCGAAAGCTTTGTTGTCATTGTACGAGACTTCTGTCGAACCTTTGTCTCGACTTCCTCTCGCGCTGTGAAGCCCCAGTATAGCAAGCTGTGAATGTAGCAGTTCCGATGAAGGCACTCAGCTTTGCAAAGCCATGTGCAACGGGTGAAGTGTCCAAATACCCTACAAATACTGTTCAACATGGCATCCTTAATGCATGGTTTTCTGAGTTCTGTTTTCGGAGCTTCGTAAACGTCGGCTATGTAGTCCAGAAGCTTTCCTGATTTAGCTTACTCAAGACTGTCTGGTGCTTAGTAGGGAATGGCGGAATGGATCCCTCTAGTCGTCCTTATATAATCCCCAATAATAGTCTCCGTAATCCATTCCCCCATTCCCTATTAAGAACCAGACAGAAGAAGTGAGCTTCGAGACGAAGGAACCATAAACCCTCAAAACGTTG